CTCTTGCCGCTGGACCTCGTCCGGGTCTGGAGACGATATGTGATAGGTCTTTACCTCCGCTCTGGACCTCGTCCGGGTCTGGAGACGATATGTGATGGGGCTTACCTCTTGCGCTGGACCTCGTCCGGGTCTGGAGACGATATGTGATAGGCCTGTACCTCTTGCCGCTGGACCTCGTCCGGGTCTGGAGACGATATGTGATAGGCCTGTGCCTCCCGCCTCTGGACCTCGTCCGGGTCTGGAGACGATTCGGAAGTGGAGCTTTGATCGACGTGCATTGTGGGCAAGAGTGTGGAGCTCATGAACCAGCGATGGGCTCATCGGGAGAATTGCCTGATGGGCCATGGACATGTTGGGGGAATGATGGGCCGGATGGCTGAACATGCTGGTCCTTCCAGGCTTCCCGCCGAGCCGGAAGCAGTTTTTGCGATCGGAGAACCCTCCTTCGCAGTTGGCGCACATTTCGTAATCAGCGCCCGGTCGCGTCAGGCTCACTGGGTTTGGGTGCTGATTTCGGTGGCCAAGGTGCTTTAGTGGTGGGACAGGCAGATTTATCTATTTCTACGTGCTGCACGGCGAGCCGTGACCTTTCTATACGAAATGGCGGCGAACTTGGTAAAAGTTTGTGCTGACGGAGTCGGTGACCTTTTCAACTTGGGTCTATTCCGAGCTCAGCGAGACGGACGACCGTGGCATCAGTGTGGGCCCATGCGCTTTATCTCACTGTCGGTTCCTCACTGGGATTACAACTGAACGCTGACATTCGAATAGACGCGTGCATCCAAAGGAGACATGTTCCGCCGGCAACAAAAATAGAGCCAGATGAGAAGGAAGAGAAAAAATGAGAGGAATAGCTGCTTGCTAAACAATGGATGGACCCGAAAGGCATTCCGATAGCCGGTTTGTCTACGTCTGACCGCCGGCTCGAGTCATTAACCACGTCTTCTCCTCTAGCAAGAACTGCGGACTGCGTTTGCTGCTCCAGTTGCTCCACTTCAAGGCTACGGTATTCTAGGCTAAGGCAGGGTTCAAAAAGGCAATTTGTCCTCAAATTAGCGTAGCATTTCATATAATTACATAAGTGCAGTTGATTCAACATCTGCAAACAGTTTTTATTAAAGCTTTCTTCTTCCCGCTGTGAACCTGCACGAGCATTTGACACTCCGACCTCTTCTGCGAGCGGCATCTAGCCTTTGGGCATGCGAACATTGCCGCTGCTGCTGACGACGAGACGGGAGTGGCACGCCGCCGCCTCCCGTCAGAGACGAGAGTGGCGCGTCGCCGCCTCCCGTTAAAGACGTGAATGGCACGCCGCCGGCTCCCGTCAGAGGCGAGAGTGGCGCGCCATCGTCAGAGACGAGAGCGGCACACCGCCGTCTCCTGTCCGAAACGAGAGTGGCACGCCGCCGCCTCCCTTCAGAGGTGAGGGTGGCACGCCACCGTCAGAGACGAGAGCTGCACGTCGCTGCCTTTTGTCAGAGACGAGAGCGGCACGCTGCCGCCTCCCGTCATAGACGTGAGTGGCACGCCCCCGCCTCCCGTCAGGGAAGCGACACGCCTCCCGCGTCCCGTCAGAGATGAGAGCGGCACGCCCCCTCCTCCTGTCAGAGAAGCGACACGCCTCCCGCCTCCCGTCAGAGACGAGAGCGGCACGCCCCCGCCTCCCGTCAGAGAAGCGACACGCCTCCCGCCTCCCGTCAGAGACGAGAGCGGCACGCCCCCGCCTCCCGCCAGAGACGAGAGCGGCACGCCCCCGCCTCCCGTCAGAGAAGCGACACGCCTCCGCGTCCTGTCAGAGGCGCCGGAGCCGAGCGGGGCGCGCTAATCCACGTCCCAGGCGGCGACCGAATCAATACCTCGTTAACTGGCTGCCGTTGTCGCTGATCAGCGGTAAATAGTTACGAATGCGGCGCGTGTCGCCGCCCGTGGTGAGGTTTTGCCGGTGGCATGCGACTCGTCGGCTTCCGGACGTCCCCTCCGGGCACGGACAGCAGGACCACACAGCAGGGTTTGGCCGAACGCCAGACGCTGATGTGTTGTAGACAGTGAATATGTGTGACGGATGGCTGAATGCTCCTGAGTTTCGATATGGTTATGTGTTCTTTTTCCTTGAGATCTCACTTTTTTGCCTGAAAGGAGTTGAAGTACTACAGTTTGTGGCGCTTGTATGCCTCAGAATCTAGTGCCTTAATGGTCTCCTGAATCTGAGCGTCCTGTTTGTGTGAGTTTGTTTATGGCCACTATACGGAGCCCAGTTATAAAGCCGTGGCTAAATGCTCGCAATTTGTCTTCGTCCCCAGCATCTTGAAGATTCCGTATTTAATACAGGCTCTTTATGCTGGTAATGTTTCAGGACCCAGTCCTCTATCTCCGAAAGTGTTATGGATCCGCCTCAGGCATTCCCTGTCTTTAGGTGGTGCGCTGGCGTACGTGTTTGAACAAGCAATTAGCAAAGTTGTGACTGGCTGTGGGTGTGGGTGTGGGTGGTGTGGTGTGGGTGTGGAGTGTGGGGTGTGGTGTGCGTGTGCGTGTGCGTGTGCGTGTGCGTGTGCGTGTGCGTGTGCGTGTGCGTGTGCGTGTGCGTGTGCGTGTGCGTGTGCGTGTGTGTGTGTGTGTGTGTGTGTGTGTGTGTGTGTGTGTGTGTGTGTGTGTGTGTGTGTGTGTGTGTGTGTGTGTGTGTGTGTGTGTGTCTGTGTCTGTGTCTGTGTCTGTGTCTGTGTCGTTCTCTGCTACATCCATGCGCAGGTAAAGCGTCCCATTAGAGCTCACCGTTGGCTGACCCACCTGTTTGTCCCCCAACGAGTCGTGTACAATGCGAGCAAGCCTAGAAGTCGGCATGTGTGAGGGCTACGATATTTACGTTGATGCGACGACAAGCCTGCGGCAACATGACTGTCCACGAGGTTTCATACATCCGCCCCCAGGCTTATCACCTATCTAAAGCACCCGTTTGTCGGGCCATTCCAAATATCCGACGCTCGTCGACCAGCGACCATTGGAGACCTCCCGCACTGTGTGCTTAACACGCCCCCGAGTGGCTGGTGTAATCTGCCGCGTGCGAGTGTGCGTAGGGGTTGCAATTTGACCTCTTGAGGTCTCAAAAGCTGAGAACGCTAGAGACACCGCACTTTGCAGGTCGGATAGGGCTCTATCTACACTCGCTTTGCCCATTGCTGAGGTCCTTAGGCCATGGCCTTCGGTCAGATAAGGTCAAACTCCAGATCGGTGTCCGAAGTGCACTCTGATCTCATGCAACCAGCCTTAATATGGATAACAAGCAAAGTGTCAGCGGTCTTTATATCAGGCCAGTGGCCATGTCTGACTTTTGGAAGGCGCAAATGGCCCAAAACCTTGGGGATTATTTGGGCATGTGAACTTACAATACGCGCCAAATACCTCTCTTGGCAGTATACTATTTAAAACAAAGTGTTTGCCGAGCTCAGTTCAGGTCAGTAACCTCTCCTTTTCATAAAACTAAAATAATACATATTTTGGCGTCGCCCTTATCCAGGAATTTAAAGCGCGCGTCAACAACGGCCTCATTAAACAATTTTTCCAGCTATACATGTATTTCATATCTGACCCAAGGTCAAATAAATCAGTCGCAGTCCTGATTGCAATAGTGTAGCTGTCCAAAACACCATCTCATCTTTTTATGACTTTGTTTAACGCTACGTTGTCACATCATTTTGAACAACTCCATTGCGATGGCCTTCCTTGACAGCCACGCCGTGCCTTTCACCCGCCATAGGTCAGGGACCTGACAAGGTATGTTTCGTTTGTGTGTGCAAAGACGCCGGCTATTCAATAACTTACAGACGGTGGAAGTTGGGGGTGGCTGCGCCGTGCTTGCCGAAAGTTGTTGTGGGAAATCTTCGGAGGGCCAAGCTCATCAGTACCTGAGCGCGTGTTGAACACCGCGCCTAGCTCGTTGTACGGTACGGTTTCGACTCGCAAACTTTGTATGCATTACTTTTATTTGAACTTTTAATCTTGTCATGCTGTTAACTTTGAACTGTGCCTTCTATGAACTCACCAACCCGTTTTTGCGCTGTTTTGTTCGTATATGCTATTTCACATGTATAGCACTGTCATGGTAGTTATGACAGCAGTTTCGTCCTATATAGACGCAGTCGAGACTAGCTGCACTGTGCGCCATAGTTTCCAGGCAGGCAACAAATTCCTACTGTTGACAGGCAACAAAACAAGTTTATCTAAATATAACACGATTATGTCGCAGTGAGGGCCGCAAGGTGTCCCAGTTTGTGCGTGGGCATGGAGTGTCGGTCTGAGCTAGCGTCGGCTCCGTTTCAGCCACGGAGACCTGGGAGCGGGTGCCAACGTGCGAGCCGCAGCCGGCGGCGCGCTCGCAGTGCTCGGCCGTGGCCGTCAGCGCGCTGCTACTGCCCGCCGAGCGACGCCGGCTGCAGCGGCCACACAGCCATCCTGCCGCCGCCGCTGACGCCGGTGCTGACACCGCCGGTGATACCGCCGGCCGGCCAACCGTCCCTGTGGTGCACGCTGACGTGCTGCACGCCCGCCGACGCGTGCAGGTGGGGCCAGTGACGGAGAGGCGGCCCGGCGCACCGCCGCCGCCGTCGACCGAGGCCGACCGCTGCGGCGACGAGGAGCGGCGCGCGGCGGCGGTGCCGCGGCCCGGCCGCGAGGGCGGCGCGTGGCCGCGCGTGCACGCGTCCGGCAGTCAGCTGCTGTGGCGAATCTCGCAGGTGAACCTGGCCGGCCGGCAGCAGCCGAGCTACTCAGCTCTGAGCAGCTGCAGCGGCGACAGCGTCGAGATGCAGCCGATTGGCCCGTCGCTCACCGCGTCCTCTGAGCTGCCGAAGTCGTACAGCACGCACGCCATGCCACCGGTGGAGATGAGCGTCGGCTGCGGCGGCTTCCCACGTGACCACGTGTCGTACCCGGACCTGCTAGGCGGCGCCGTGCCGCCGCCGGAGCCGGTCAAGCGGCACGCGCCGCGGCCCGGCCCGTGCGCGCCCATGCTGACCGGTCACCGCTCGCCGCGGCTGCCGTCGCGTCTCTCGTCGGGGGTGTCGTCGTCGTCGTCGGCGCGGCTCATCTGCATCACGCACGGCGCCGACAGCGACGGGACGTCCGACTACTCGAGCATCGAGCACTGCGACATCACCGGCTACGACAACCCCAACTACGTGGGCTACCGCGTGGCGGCGCTACCGTCGGGTGCCGAGTTTGAGATGGCGCCACTGTGCCGGTCGCAGGACTCGGGCATTTCGGAGAGGCCGCGCTCGCGATCCAGCAGCCCTGTGCGTGACGGCGTTCAGTTGGACCAAACGCTGGTGCCCTACTACCCCCCGTCTACATGTACACACTCGGCGGCAGGGAGACGTCGTCCGTCACCCGCTTCAAGCGGCCGCTCTCCGTCTGGCGGTTTCAGCTGGTGTGAGCTGAGACAGCGAGCTTTCCGGCGGAGGCTGCGCACGCGCTGCTTAGTCGCTGCTTGCGCGTCAGTGGTCGGTATTTGTCGTTAGCGGAGAGCAGGACACCATTATGACCCTTATGTTGTTCGCCGTTGGCCAACCCTTGCTGCGTTATTGATCGTGTCGCCTGGCGACATCGTACATGATTTCCTCTGAGACTTCGGTCGTGGTGTTTAGGGTCTGGCAGGCCACCCTGTGCAAGGTGTTAATTTTTCTACTCACACACGAGTGCCATCTCCGTTGGGCTTATCTTTAACTGCTTATTTGCCTGTCGTTGCAGATGAGTGATTGTTGTTCTTCGTTCGTTCCGATGCGTCGCATATGTCCTAAAGCCCTTGTAAATGTGTGACGATACATTGGCCTAAGGAAATAGTGAAGAGCTTAGCGATCAGTGGAACAGGTGGGTTATGCATAGTGCCGTGTTGGCTGTCCACATCAGTCTTCCAATGCTGCCGCCCGTACACCGTTGGATGCACCAGAACCAATCCACATCTGCCTCGCTGGCAAAGTCGTGTTCGAATTCTCATGTTTTTTGTTACCGAAGCAGGACCGTCAAACTGAAGAGGCTGTCGTGGGCGCTGCAATAGCTTTGTGTGAGAACTGCCAGCAATTGTGAATGTTGCTTTGTTCGATGGTGTGTATACGGAGCGTGTTTGAGTTGGCGTGTTGCAGTGGTGCCGCCGGATGGCCGGGGCCCGGTGCTGCAGTGGTGCTGCAGGCCAGTCCACAGATACTCGCAGCCGGGTCGAGATTCCGCAGCACGAACGTCTGCACGTGCGGCAAAGTGGCGGGCTTCGCCGAACGAGCGTATGCAAGCACGGCGAAATGGCGGGCTTCGCAGCAGGGGGGTGCGCGAGCGCGGCGAAATGGCGGGCTTCTCAGCATGAGGGTGCGCGAGCGCGGCGAAACGGCCGGCTTCGCGGCATAAGGGTGCGCGAGCGCGGCGAGATGGCGGGCTTCGCAGAGCTCAAGCGCGGCAAAATGGCGAACTTCTCAGCATAGGGGAGCGCAAGCGCAGCAAATGCGCGCTTCGGGTCCGCCGCAGTCTGGGCTTACCAATAACTGCTGAACATGAGCAGCATTCCTGCTTGACACTGGCCGTGTTTATCACAGACGCTGCTCTCGTCACCGTGTAGGAGATACTCAAAGTTCTGAACACAGGCTCGCACGATGGCATCTGAGCGCTTATTTGGAACCCCGTAGCACCTGAGCGCTTATTTTGAACCCCGTAGCATCTGAGCGCTTATTTTGAACCCCGTAGCATCTGAGCGCTTATCTTGAACCCCGTAGCATCTGAGCGCTTATTTTGAACCCCGTAGCATCTGAGCGCTTATTTGGAACCCCGTAGCACCTGAGCGCTTATTTGGAACCCCGTTGCACCTGAGCGCTTATTTGGAACCCGTAGCACCTGAGCGCTTATTTTGAACCCCGTAGCATCTGAGCGCTTATTTTGAACCCCGTAGCATCTGGCGCTCCACGAAGGGTGTGCAGCGATGCGCGACGAGTTCCCCTCAAACTGAATATAAAAAATAAACTGCCCATATGTTCAGGGTCTCTGTGACCTTTAAGAGCTTGTGTGGACGTAATGCATTCTGCGATATGGCTAAAAGCGTCACATCTGCGCTGTCTGTTGAGCTAACGCTGTGGAAATTGTTTTCATTGATATTGAAACCTATTTCAAACTTGAATGCCGAGAGACAAAATACCCTCGGTAACTTGCGTACAGGTGTGTATGGCGATGTACCGACCAACAGCCGTCCCACCCTTGCGCTAACCAGACAGAACGCGAACATTCAGGAGCAGATCTCACCACCTTTTACACACCTCGATGTGGTAATTGTCTTTTTTTCAAGCAAATTCTCCTCACAGTTTGTAATGATGCGCGTTAACTAACTGCGCAACGTTAACCAACGTGCACCCCCTTTCTCCCCGCACGCCACCTCAGCCCGCGTCACGGACCTGACACCAGGGGGTGTGGCGGCGGACTTCTGCGCGTGCGATCACCGACTCGGTGCGCGGTAGATGAGTCGGTATGGGAATGCCCACCACGTTTTAATAACGAAAACGAAAAAGTGTGCAAAATCTAGAAATTACGCTTATTTTAAGATCAAAATGGCCACGAACTTTACAGATATTGAACGTTTTCACAAACTTAGACGCATATTTATCATGAATGTGTAGTATATTTATACGCGAAATATGGCGGTGCTTACGGTCCATCGCTCCGTTAACCTGTGTGTCTCGTCTATGATAAACCGTTTTCTGGATCAATCATTTGAAAATGTGGTTGTTAAACTTGTAAAGGAAAATGTGTCCATGGCTCCAAAAGGGTAGCTACAATCGCTCTAATTTTCTCCGTCGTTCAAGAGCTAAATCCACAAACATCTTAACCTATCCTGGCCGAAGCACAGGTCGTTTAAGGAGAGACGTCAGGCTCTGTCACTGAGCTGTTCCAGTTGGGGCATACCGCCCGCCCTAAACACACCGAGAACACGGTTAGAATTTTAAAAACCTTGTTTTGTTATCCAAAAAGGCCATGCAGTGCTTTAACAACTTTGGAAAACATTCCGCTCTTGCCAAAGTCAGATTGTATTGCAAGAGCTTGATAAGTAATTTTCAGTGCATTTTACAAAGATGCGCCAGACCAGACCCAATACGCTGCCTTCCTATTCCGAAAATAAAATTCGACAATATCCGTTTACGAAACCGAGCATGACGTCCGGGGCTGCGTTTGCTAACAATGACGTCGTTTGGTTTGATTTACAGGGACCGGCTGGTCTTGCAACCGGGTTTTCACTACCACTTGCTAGCAAACAGGACCTCCAAAACCGCATGAATTCGCAGCTGCATGATTTTTGTCATACGAGAAATATCCGACTTTTAAAATGTTCCATCAACTATTCTGAGTCAATTGTTTACCGAGTGGTAAGGCACAGGCAGCTTTTAAACATACTTCCAGCTTTAGAAAGCCAATAACGCAAGATTATAAACGAGCGTATGACCCATGACCTGGCACTGGCCAACAATTGTGACGTTTGGCCTCAAGCCTCAAGGTCTTACCCTTTCATTAGGATCAATTCCAACCGGAACGTGGGATTGAGGATAAGTCGGTAGTATAATGGGCGAAAAGTGTTTGTGCGGTGGGCATCAGCATAACCCCTGTTCCGTAAGTGAACGCCAAGCTGCAAAATGACAATCTGTATTTGAACTTTCACAGTGAACATTAGATCATGGGATCAAACTTTGTCCGCTAAGCATGGTATTAGAGGCCTCACAGCTCGGTGAAGGCCAGCACCCTTGAAGTAGCAGAGGACCCATTCGTCAAAGGGTTTGCAGCACGATCTGAGGTTAATGGAAAGGCGCCATGCAGTCCCGTCACACGGACGAGGCGCCACTCTCCTCGGTTCCGTGACTCTTGCACCCATTTGGAGATGGCAGCACGATCTGATGTTAATGGAGAGGTGCCATGCAGTCCCGCCACACGGACGAGGCGCCAACCTCCCCGGTTTCGTGACTCTTGCACCCATTTGGAGATGGCAGCGCAATCTGATGTTAATGGAGAGGTGCCACGCAGTCCCGTGACACGGACGAGGCGCCAACCTCCCCGGTTCCGTGACTCCTGCACCCATTTGGAGATGGCAGCGCGATCTGATGTTAATGGAGAGGTGCCATGCAGTCCCGCCACACGGACGAGGCGCCAACCTCCCCGGTTCCGTGACTGTTGCAGCCATTTGGAGATGGCAGCGCGATCTGATGTTAATGGAGAGGTGCCATGCAGTCCCGCCACACGGACGAGGCGCCAACCTCCCCGGTTCCGTGACTCTTGCACCCATTTGGAGATGGCAGCGCAATCTGATGTTAATGGAGAGGTGCCACGCAGTCCCGTGACACGGACGAGGCGCCAACCTCCCCGGTTCCGTGACTCTTGCACCCATTTGGAGATGGCAGCGCAATCTGATGTTAATGGAGAGGTGCCATGCAGTCCCGCCACACGGACGAGGCGCCAACCTCCCCGGTTCCGTGACTGTTGCAGCCATTTGGAGATGGCAGCGCGATCTGATGTTAATGGAGAGGTGCCATGCAGTCCCGCCACACGGACGAGGCGCCAACCTCCCCGGTTCCGTGACTGTTGCAGCCATTTGGAGATGGCAGCGCAATCTGATGTTAATGGAGAGGTGCCATGCAGTCCCGCCACACGGACGAGGCGCCAACCTCCCCGGTTCCGTGACTCCTGCACCCATTTGGAGATGGCAGCGCGATCTGATGTTAATGGAGAGGTGCCATGCAGTCCCGCCACACGGACGAGGCGCCAACCTCCCCGGTTCCGTGACTGTTGCACCCATTTGGAGATGGCAGCGCGATCTGATGTTAATGGAGAGGTGCCATGCAGTCCCGCCACACGGACGAGGCGCCAACCTCCCCGGTTCCGTGACTCCTGCACCCATTTGGAGATGGCAGCGCGATCTGATGTTAATGGAGAGGTGCCATGCAGTCCCGCCACACGGACGAGGCGCCAACCTCCCCCGGTTCCGTGACTCTTGCACCCATTTGGAGATGGCAGCGCGATCTGATGTTAATGGAGAGGTGCCATGCAGTCCCGCCACACGGACGAGGCGCCAACCTCCCCGGTTCCGTGACTGTTGCAGCCATTTGGAGATGGCAGCGCGATCTGATGTTAATGGAGAGGTGCCATGCAGTCCCGCCACACGGACGAGGCGCCAACCTCCCCGGTTCCGTGACTCTTGCACCCATTTGGAGATGGCAGCGCAATCTGATGTTAATGGAGAGGTGCCACGCAGTCCCGTGACACGGACGAGGCGCCAACC